TTACTCACTGCCATCAAGTTGATTCTGACCTATACTGACCCTATAGGACAGGGTTTTCATTACTGTGATAGTTCTATAATCGTTTGGCAATTAGAGGATTATGAGGGAAGGGGTGGAGTCTAGCCTCTCAATCAGATGATAGCCAATGAGGTCTCTGTGTGGGCATGGCCTTCCCCCGACGATTCTGGAAATTGCTGTACAGTATCTCCTCCTTGGAGGCAGTAGACACTTTCCCTGCTCACTCCCTGAGAGATGCTCTACTGACAAAGACACATGGCACTTCACTGATAAACCCTGTGTCCTGGGAACTAGAGGAGCCAGGTGGAGACCCCTGCCAGTACTGAGATGCTTCTACTGGCACTGGATCCACAAGATATTGCATCCACTGACCTGTGATCTCCCTGCTTTCAGCATCATTGCATGTGTTTCGTGAGTCTGTAGAGGAGTTTATAGATTCATATTGCACATATGGGCTAATATTGGCCTTATGGACTTGATCTGAACTGGGCTGGGATGTTTTCGCAATATTCCAACTGCTCTGGAATATAAAGCTCTTTCCTATACATGTGAGAGTATCCATGAATTTGTTTCTCTAGTCTAACCAGACTAACACAGTATCCAAGACTGTAAGGAGACTGCCACCTTCAAAGCATTAGCGGAACATAATAAGCCAAAGGAGAGCTGCTTTCCATTTAAAAAACAAACCAAAGCAACGAATAAAAACTCTTTATGGGACTACAGCTGGACAAATGATTGGACGTCACAGAAAAGACTTTGAGCTACATATACCATATCTTTGGAAGTAGGTGAAGCCTCTTTAATAGCCACAATGGAAAAATGCTCTTTGCTCTGAAAAAACGGAACAAGGCGAATAGATGGTATAAAAACCTACTGCCATCCAGGTGATTCTGATTCATAACAACCCTAAATAGGGGCCTGCGGCTGTAAATCTTTACAGGAGCAAATAGCCTCCACTTTCGCCCACAAAACGGCTGGAGGGTTTGAACTGCCAACCTTGTAGTTAGCAATCCAATGCTTACCCTACAAGTTGTTGTTAGTTTTAGGTGCTGTGGAGTTGTTTCCAACTCAAAGCGACCCAATGTACAAGAGAAGGAAACAATGCCTGGGCCCTGCCCCATCCGACAATTGTTATGTTTGAGCCCATTGTTGCAGCCCGTGTGTCAATTCCTTTCAACGAGGGTCTTCCTCATTTTCGCTTCCCCTCCACTTTCCCAAGCATGATGTCCACATCCAGGGACTGGTCTCTCCTGACAAGTCCAAAGTACCTGAGACGAAGTCTCCAGGTCCCTGCCTCTGAGGAGCATTCTAGTTGTACTTCTTCTAAGACATAAGCCCAAATATTTCTTCTGCCTTCAAAGGTGTGTTCAGGCAACCGCCTCCTCCCTTGCTCCCAGCGCTTCCTGGTTTTTGCAATCTCGTTCTCGATTTACTAGAGTGCGTGCTTGCGTGTAGACTCAGAAGCCCAAGAACAAGCCCAGGAACTCTCCCAGGCGCACCAGCTAAATAGCAAACAGATGCGGGGCATGCAGAGGACCTCACCCGGCTAGGGCACTGCTTGGGAAACAAGTTCCAGCCCTGTGGTTTCCGGGTAGAAAGGCTGGCCGCCAGATTATTTTATTCTCTTTGTTGAAATGGGGCAGTTTTGAAAGTAAGGCTCCCCCCTTTCCCAGGCAGAGGTGCTGTCGTGCAGTCCCAGTCAGCGTGAGTTCACTGCAGGCTGTCGGTGGGTCCCGGCCGGGTCGTCTTTCCGAAGTCAGGCCGCCCTCTGGTGCAGAGCCACCCCTCCGCCGGGCTCCCTACCTTTCTCCCCTCCCTCACCGCCGGACTCCTGGCTCCTAGTCCGCAGCCGGGGCCGCGGGCGCCCCGGGTTTCTTCGGGAATCAATGGGGACGCTTTGGCTTTGGAAGTGTGTTTGGACGGCGTGGCCACCACAGTCACCGCTCCAGCTCCACTCTCACACTCGCGCCCCGAGCGCGCGGTGCCAGCTGAGAGACGAGGCGGGTTGCCTGGACGGTCTTAACCCTTAACCCTCGGCCAAGAAGCCGAGGGTGCTGTGTACCTGCTGCCCTTTCGAGAACACCAGAAATCTTACGGGGCGGGAGGCGGGGGACAGATGAGCACACCCCAACAAACTCTTTTCATCCACATATTCCTGCGGGAGGAATGCCGACTGGAGTGAACTCGAACGGCCTCCCCACCACCCCTATCCTGGAAGCCTCCTGTGCGCGGGATTTCTCTTAGGACCCAAGGAGTGCGCGCTTGGGTGCTCAGGGTCCGCCTCCCCCGTCCCCACCCCCCCACTCCCCTCCACCCCGGGCTCTGACGGGGGCTGGGGGTGGGCTGGGAAGGCAGGGACCTGGATCTGATTAGCAGGGAGAGGGAAACTTCGGTTCCCACTCTAGGCTCCCGCCTCCCAATCCTCGCCGGCTCTTGGAGGACGCGAGGCGAGGGTCCCTGCCCCGAGCACCCCCGGGACTAGACCTGCGGGCTCGTCCCCCGACCCGCTCGGCCATGGGGCCCTCTTCCACCTCGGGCTTCTACGTGAGCCGCGCGGTGGCGGCGCTCCTGGGCGCCGTGGCGGCTGCGCTGGTGCTGGCGCTGGCGGTGTTCGG